TAGTAATGCTGGCTTTGTAAAATGAGTTGGGACATATTCCTTCCTGCCTTCTGTTTTTTGAAGGGGTTTATATAGTTTATATTTTTCCTGAAATGTTTGATGAAATTCACTAGTAGATCTATCTGTGTCTAGACTTGGGCTCAGATTAGGACTTAAATTTTTATTTTTATTTACTTGTTTATTTAAGTTTTTTTTTTTTTTTTAATGTTTGTTTTTGAGAGAGAGAGAGAGCATGAGAAGGGGAGGGGCAAGAAAGAGAGGGAGACACAGAATCAAAAGCAGGCTCCAGGCTCTGAGCCCTCAGCCCAGAGACCGACGCAGGGCTCAAACCCACAAACTGTGAGACCGTGACCTGAGCCGAAGTCAGATGCTCAACCAACTGAGCCACCCAGGTGCCCCAAGACTTCAATTTTTAAAATAGATATCAGGAATTCAACTTCTTTAACAGATATGAAGTTAAACAGGTTTTCTATTTCTTTTTGAATCAACATTGATTGTGTCTTTTAAGGAATTTGTTCATTTAAGTTGTCAAATTTATTGATAAAGTTGTTCATATTACTTTATTATGCTTTTACTATTTATAGAATCTGTAGTGATGTTCCTTCTTTGATTTCTAATATCCGTGTCTTCTTGTCTATTGATTTCATTGATCTTTTCAAAGAACCAGATTTTGGTTTTATTGATTTTCCCTTTTGTTTGTGTTCTATTTTATTATTTCTCTTAATATTATTTATTTTCCTTCTGCTTACTTTGGTTTAAATTCTCTTCTTACAGCTTAAGTTGAAAGCTTTGATTCTTGATTTTAGACCTTTCTTCTTTTGTAATATAAAATTTTAAGGTATAGATCTCCTTCCAAGCACTGCTTTTGCTGCACCCACAAATTTCTCTGTGTTCTGGTTTCATTTTCATACTGTTCAAGATGTTTTCTAATCCTCCTGTGTTTGTTGATATATAGGCTTAGAAGTGTGTAATTTCCAAATATTTAGGGATTTTCCAGATATATTTCTTTTATTGATTTCTAATTCCTTTGTAGTCAGAGAATATACTGAATGATCTTAATTAAGTCTTGTTAAATGGCCTAGAATATAGTTTATCTTGATAATTGTTCTGTGTGCAGTTGAAAAGAATGTGTATTTTGCTATTGTTGGATGGAATAGTCTGTAAATTCCAATTGGATCAAGTTGGTTGTTGTTCAAGTATTCTATGCCCTTATTGATTTTCTGTTTGTTCAACCGATTGAGATAGAAGTATTGAAATATCTGACTGTAATTGTGGATTTGCCTATTTTTCCTTGAAGTTCTATTAGTTCTTACTTTGTGTATTTTGAAGCTGTTATTATGTGTGATCTAGGACACTCCATTCTGGCTGGTCAGAACCCAAATGTCCTTTAGGCCTGTCTGAGCACTGGACATTGGCTGACAGCTCACCAGTCATTATATAAGCTCTTATAATATGCCATATACTATATTTATCAATCGATATAGGCCAGGTTAGACTGTGATAACAAGCAACCTCCAAAGGCCAGTGGTTTGAAACTTGTCACAAAGATTTTTTTCTTGCTCATGTTACATGCCCACTGAATGTTGACTGTGACTATTCTGTGTCCTGTTTGAGACTTTAGAGGGATAGAACAGTTTCTGTCTGGAGGACTGCTGGTCATTATGGCAGAGAGAAAACATGGCAAACTGTGTACTGGCTCTTAAATTTTCTGCCTCCAAGTGTCATATGTCACCTCTATTCATACTTCATTTACTCGATCAAGCCTCATGGCCAAGGCTGACATCAGTAGGATTGGAGGGTCTAATCCTCCCCCAGGTGGGAGCACCAAATATTTGTGAATAAAATAGTCTACCAGACTGTGTTAAGCATTCAAACACTTTCTCTTTTAATCTTCATTAACAACCTTCTAGAAATAAGTACTATTATTGTTTCCATTTTACTGAAGAGGAAACTGAGGATCAGAGAGTGATGTGGCAAAAGCCAAGTAATAATCAAATGGCAGGGCCCGGATCCAGCTTTGCTGACCCCATTGTAATTGTGCTTTCCTGCCATAAGAAAAGGAAAAGGAAGGAGTGATCGCGTTTGGGAAGGAATATAGCAAGGAGAAAGGAAATGAAGGGAGACCCTAAAAGTATTTGTAAATGACTACTTCCTATGGAAATCTGATCTGGTGATCAGAAAGAGGTTGGATATGGAAAGGAGAGAAATTCCTCTTAACTCAGTTCTTCCCAGTCCACACCTCATCTGTCCATCCCATATCACATGACCTTATCTCATGTCATCCCAAGAAAGCCCAGCTCCTGTCTCTCTACATTCCAAAGGCCCCAACCCTGTTACCTATATTGAGGTTCCCTCAAGTCCCAGTCTGTATTGATTATTCTGTTTATATGGTCCAAGAAAAAAAGAGTTTACTACATTTAGCAGTGACCACAGATATTTCCATCATTTAATCCTGGCATGTCATAAAAATCCAACACTTGACAATTTATTATTATTTCCTCTGGAAACCTGTATGCCAGTGATTTATAAAAACCAAATTGCCCTTTGAACCAAAATCTATATTCAGAGCTTTCTGAAACAATGCTATGAAATTAGAGGTGAGTATAGCTTATTAACACAATATTAGAATTCTATCAAAAAGAAAAAATAAACTGGAAAATATTAGCATAAAGGCTTAAAATCTGTGTTTTATAAAATGCTCATACAAAAAATATTAGATTCTTGCAAGTAAATGAGCTGGGGAAAGAAACAGATGTTTCATTCAAGAGGATATAACTAGTAAACAAGTACATGAAAACTAGTTCGATCTCACTAATGTAAAAGATAAATACAAATTAAAACAATGAGAACCATTTTACATTGTTTAAAGGGGCGTACAACTTTCTAAATGTCATTACTTGGTCACTTTTCATTCTTTCAGTGAAATTGTTATAATCTGATAGTACTGGTATTACTTTTTGTCGAGAATCACGTGGTGGCAACATATAGCAAGCTCATGGGGTGAAAGGTCAGAATGCTTAAGCCTATATATTTCTGAAAGAACTCTGAGCTTGTCGCGGCATTCTGGTGGGGCGGGGGGGACTGCAGCCACTTGATAAACCTCTGATGGAGAATTGTCTGTCTCTGATGGGAAAGGTGGGAGACCATGGGTGGGGCGCTCAGAGCCTGTTGGTTCCTGGGTGAAATAAAAAACCCCTCACATCTAGGCTTTTGACCTTTACTTAATCCTACCTCTGAAGAAATAATCCCTAAGGAAAAAAGCTAAATAAACAAGGATTAGCCACAGTGTTAATTGTTATGGAAAAGATTACAAAATAAGTGCCCAACAGCAGGGGAATAATTAAAAATATGGTGTAGGCATTAAAATTCAAATTACAAGGACTACACAGCAACATAGAGCATGCTTCTGAGATAGTTTTAATTGAAAATGGGAAAATGCACTCATTGCAATTATTCACCAGAGCTAGAAGGGAACAGGGTCAATGCACAGTTAGCTCTGCTGAGGTGACAATATTTTGAGCACAAATTCTCCCTCACTTATTTAGATTTATTGTATAATACAGATAGAATATTTATGTAAAAGGAATTCTATTTTTAGAGAAAAGGAGAAATAGGACACTATGACCCTTTTCTACTCAGCTTCTCGTTGGAGGCTTCAGAATTTCATTAAAATGCAAAATTCAAAATCATCTTTATTTTTGGTATATCCTGATAAATATATTATAAGCTTACTCTGAATCTGAATTGGTCATCCTCATGGGAGGATTTACATGTAGATAAATAGCTCTTATGTTAATCCATTTAGCTCCAAAGACTGTAAGGGGAATGTGTACTAATCATATGGTCTGCTTGTTAAGTTTTTTAAATCGCAGGGAAATATGCGAGGTGTTTGTCATGTCAGAAAGCACAGGAGAAACTTACATTTCTGTTTTCAGCCACAGCTACATTTCACATGAGGAATCTCTCCATTTACAACAGTGGGCTTAACTGTTAATCTAAACAAGTACAATAAATACACAATTTTATCTCGGTTTCCAGATTTTTGGATACTCTGTGTTTTTATTGTACTTTTCAGATTAACAATTGGACCCACTACATTACATTTAGAGATGCTTCACCTGAGAGGGGTTTGGAGGTTGAAGAAAAACATTTAGCATATTATTTGGAAAGTAACTAAAATACTATTTACAAACAAATGTATCTGACTTTTAAAAAAAATTTTTTTTTAATGTTTATTTATTTTTGACACAGAGAGACGGAGCATGAGCAGGGGAGGGGCAGAGAGAGAGGGAGACAGAATCGAAAGCAGGCTCCAGGCTCTGAGCTGATAGCACAGAGCCCGATGCGGGGCTCGAACTCACAGACCGTGAGATCATGACCTGAGCCGAAGTCGGACGCTCAACCGACTGAGCCACCCAGGTGCCCCTGCATCTGACTTTTTGAACATCCTGTGGTGTCTTACTGTTAGCTTTAAATTTCGTCAATGGCAAAAAATAGAAAAGCCAGAGAGTCTCCCAAACTAGGGGGATGGGAGAGTAGAGCAAAGGGTAGGAGAGGGAGGAGGAGGAAAAGGAGCTGGAAGTTTTTGTGCTGTCTTGACTGAAGAAAGTTAGGTTGAAATAGAAATGAGTTGTGGGCTCACTGATCGATTAGGAGAACAAGGGAGGGGAAAGAAAAATATTCCTTCCAGCACTTCTGGGAACAGCCTCAATATTCACACAGTGAGGCTGAGAACAAATTGTGAGGTAGATGAAGCTCTAGAAACACTTCTCTCTTCTTAGTAGCTCTCCTAGCCTTCAGAGATAACAGCAGAAACTCTGTGTGTGTGTGTGTGTGTGTGTGTGGTGGGGGTGGCAGCAGAGGCAGTGGTATGAGGAAGGAGAGAAAAATCTCAGAGAAGATAATGAGGCTGTGGAGTGTGGGAGCCCAGAGCAGAAAATATTCTGGTGCTTGAGAGAACAGGAAGGCGTATATATAAATGTGTGTGTATCTCTTTTTAGATCCTTTCATTCAGGAGGCATCTCCCTGGAGACGGAGGAAATGGTAGGAGTCCCCTGGGGTGCTGTCAGCTCCACTTGCTGAACTTCTGGAGAAAGAGTGAAATACTAGGTAAAGGAAATGCCTCCAGCCTGCTCCTAGGGAGAGGCAGGACTGGGAGGAGTGGGGAGGTGAGAGGGACCCTTGACCTGAATAAGTTGGAGACGTTTCCAAGTGTGGCTCCCTTCCCACTCTCAACCTCCCAGCACTAGTGCCCCTGACAGGAAGGAAAACTGCCTTGTCCTGTGGCCCCTTTCAGTTCTAGTACAGCTAGAAGGATATTCCCCACATTTGTGCTCTTACCTTCTTTACTTCTAGGCAAACCCCAAAGCCCCCAGCCTCAAAGAAGGGCCGTTCCTGGGGCAGTGCTGACAAGTCCAGGTTAGAGGGACTTGGGAAGTCTCAGATCAGAGGCTGGCACTCTTATCAACCACCCTACCCAACCCTTGTGTCCAGGCTCCTCCTTGAAGGCCTGCCTATCAGAGGTTTATTCCTGACCAGGGCCACTAGGACAGAGGAAGTTTGTGGGGTTGGACCACCACACCATACATCTTCACCAGCCTTCTTTGCTACTCTTTCACTGCAAATGTAAAATAATCCATTGGCAGTATCGCTTCTGTGGTCCCACTTAAATCATTGTTTCTGGGACTGTGTTGAAAACAAAATCCTGACAAACAAATGTTTAGAACACAGACTCTTTGAAGAATGGTGTCTTGTACCCATTTACTACCACAAGCATTTCTTATGTATCTTACACCAGTCTGGGAAATGCTCTGTCTGTGCTTTCATAAATTGGGCCGTTGCTGCTGGTGCTCCAGGATGGTTTTAGGTTGTACACTAACAGGGCAGCAAATGCCATTGACTTATCATGAAAATATTACCACCATTCTAATTATCCTTCTGATTATACCAAAGACAAGGTCCTGGTTTGGAACTAGATCTTTAACACTGTTCTAACATTTGCTTATTGCTATTATTACTGTTTAATAAGTATAGGTCAAGAGCCTTGGGCTGGTTTAGGTGACACAGAGGCTGAATTCCAAACTGGTGGCTCTGTGACTGAATCCAGCCTGCAGATACGATTTTCACTATGCCATATTTATATTTATATATATTTTGGGCCAACATTTAGAAACTCCAGAAATTTTGCCTAAAACCCCAGATTCCAAGCTTCTGTTAAATAATCAAATTATGCTCAAATTCCTTCGTGGCAGAATCTGACTCTATTCTTTAAACAGGACACATGCTCTGGGGCCCTGGGCGGCTCAGTTGATTAAGCGTCTGACTTTGGCTCAGGTCATGATCTTGCACTGGTGAGTTTGAGCCCCGTGTCAGTCTCTGTGCTGACAGCTCAGAGCCCAGATCCTGCTTTGGATTCTGTGACTCCCTGTCTCTCTGCCCCTCCGCTGCTCGCACTCTGTCTCTCTCGCTCTCAACAATAACGGACATTAAAAAAATTTTTTTAAACCGGACATGTGCTCTCCACTTTGCCACAGTCTCTACCACTCCTTATCATGTTATACAGGACCCATATATTATTCACTTCCATTGCCTTCCCAGCCCCTCTACGCATTTGCATCTTAGGTCTGTTTTAGGAATTCTGTGGCTAAAAAGGTAGACCACAATCAAGCTTGACTTTCAGGCTAAGGAATTTGGTCTTCATTCTATAGGAAATAGAGAGCCATTAATTTTTTAGTAGGGTAGCCAAGGCTTAAAGCAACTCTTTCAAAAATGATTCTGACTTTTATTTGAAACTAAGGATGAGGAAGGGAGAATGGAGGCAGGGGGCTGATGAAGGGGTAACCTTAAATTTCATTGTCTCAGGAAATGGAAGCTGGGCCTAGGCTGTGAAATGAGTGGGTCTGGCCTACACGGCCTCCAGACATGCAGTTAAGAACAGGATTGGGTGGGGTGCCTGGGTGGCGCAGTCGGTTAAGCGTCCGACTTCAGCCAGGTCACGATCTCGCGGTCCGTGAGTTCGAGCCCCGCGTCCGGCTCTGGGCTGATGGCTCAGAGCCTGGAGCCTGTTTCCGATTCTGTGTCTCCCTCTCTCTCTGCCCCTCCCCCGTTCATGCTCTGTCTCTCTCTGTCCCAAAAATAAATAAACGTTGAAAAAAAAAATTTAAAAAAGAACAGGATTGGGAGCCTTGGGCAGTGCAAGGACAAGTAGAAAGCCAAACCTGGACTGGAAATGCATGGTCATCAGTGAGGTGAAGCTAACTGGGCCGGAGCCTAGAGGGACTTTTTGAAGCAGAGACACAAGGCCCTTAAATAAGGGCCTACAAGCAGGAAGGGAACCATCAGAGCTGGTTCTGGCCAGGCAGGCAAAGGTAATACCAAGGTGGTGGTTGTGGGAATGGAAATAGCTGGAGAGATGTAAAAGCCATTTAGAAGAAAGATCCAGTGATACTGGTAGCTACTAGGAAAGGGGGTCTTAAGGAGGAATAAAAAAAAAAAAATGATTCTAAGACTCCTAACTTGGGAGCCAAAGAAGATAGTGGTGAGGAGGAAGAAGAAATTTTTGAGTATATGAAATATGAGGTTCCATAAGGATGCCCAGTGGGCACTGGAAGGACTGACGTTTAGAGAGGTGTAGGCTGAAAGTAATACTAGGGTATCATCTTGCACAAAGATGAGAGATGAAGATAGAGAAAAGGAAGAGGGAGGGAGAGAAGGAGAGTAAAGAGTAAATCTTAGGGCGAATTTAAATTTAGGATGTCCATGAAAGTATCACAAATGGTCTGATATGGAGGAAGAGAAACATTTAGCTCCATGCTGGTTAAGGGGCAAGGGGCAAGGCCATAGTGTTGTCACAACCTTCAAAGACCACAGCAAATGAGGACCAAGAAACAGAAGCAGAGCCAAAGTAGTATTTTCTAGAAAGAGGATCTCCACATTCATTCATTCAACAAGTATTTATTGAGAACCTAGCTTTTATCCAGGCCCTGAACAAACGGAGGTGGGCCAAACAGAGACCCTATGCTGATGGAACTTACATCCTGCTGGAGAAGACAGACATTACACAAAGACTGATCGTGGTCAATGTTACCAAGAGAAACAAAGCAGGGTAAGTGGACAGATAGTGACAAGGTGGTCCAAATAGGCCTCTTTGAGGAGGTGGCATTAACATAACCCTAAAATGAGGGAGTGAAGAAGAACATTCTAGGCAGAGGGGAAAGCAAGGGCCAAGACAGTCTGGCACATGCTTGGTAGGTATGAGAACAAAAAGGAGGCCAGAGTAGCTACAGAACAAGGGGAAGGGGGAGCCAGGGGCGAGGTCATGAAGAACCACATAGGCCAAGCTAAGGATTTTGGATGTTAGCCTGTGGGGGCGTGCTCTTTGGAGGGTTGAAACAAGACAGTTACATGGTGTTACTTCACTCTGAACAGGATCACTCTAGAGGTCTGGCTATGGCTTAAAGGGTGGGGCCACGAAAGGTACAAGGGCACAAGCAGACAGTGAGGAGATTCTTATGTGGTAGCAGTGAGAGATGGTGGTTTGGAGCAGGAGGAATGTAGGGAGCAGCAGCAAGATGGATGTTGGAGGATGGAGCCATTCAAGAGGGAGACCTCCCAGACGGTGTAAGAAGCAGGGAAGAACAGAACTGAGAGCAGAGGGGCAGGAGCAACAAAACTGTAACATGGAAGAATATAATCGTCCACACTCAGGGGCGGTTTAGAAGCTTTGAGGCAGAAGAAGGCAGGCTACCCTGGCCTTCAGCTCAACCACTTTTGTTTTTGTTGTTGTTGTTGTTGTTTTTTTCTTACAGATCCCTGTGGAATAGCTGTTGATTTTAGAGGAGGGTGAGTTTGTCAATGTTGAAAGAAGACCCACTTGGGAAGAAAACTTGATTTTGTGTTTCCAGTGTATGACAGGAAAATGGTGACCTCTCCAGACCTCAAGGATATATGTAAAACAGAGAGCTTTTTACCTCATACTATCTAGAGTCTTAAGAATAACACCTCGGGGCGCCTGTTTCCGATTCTGTGTCTCCCTCTCTCTCTGCCTCTCCCCCGTTCATGCTCTGTCTCTCTCTGTCCCAAAAATAAATAAAACGTTGAAAAAAAAAATTTAAAAAAAAAAAAAAAAAAAAAAAGAAAAACACCTCGAGGGGAGCTTGGGTGGTTCAGTTAAGCTCTTGGTTTTGGCTTAGGTCATGATCTCATGTTTGTGAGATCCAGCCCCACATCAGGCTCTGCGTTAGTACAGAGTATGCTTGGGATTCTCTCTCTTTCTCTCTCACTGTCCCTCCCCCCGCCGCCCCCACCAAATAAATAAATAAACAGTAAAAAACAAAAGTAGCAGAAGAATACCTTAAGACACCTCCTGCTTAGCCTGACTCCATGGTTTCCTGGACTCTGTGTACCAACGTGTGGTGGTCCCTGTGGCCTGTCCTGAGGGCCACCACTCATTATCTCCACACTAGGTAGCCTGGTCCATCTGGCTCTCCAGTCTACACACTGGAACTAAGTTAGCATTCTCGAAGTCCTCATCTGTGGCCTTTTCTCAGAAACCTTCAGGGGCCCTTATTGCCGAGCAAATTGAAGTAAGTGTTTCCTCCGAATGGCCCAAACCTGCGTCTGTGTCCTCTTGGTCTTCTACTCATCCCAGGGCCGGGACAAAATGGCACTGCTTGCCATTCTCCAAACATGCACCACCTTTTCCTGCCTTTACTACTGCTCCTCCCTAAGTATTTATCCCATCCTTCTCTACCTCTAGAAAACTTACCATTCAAGACCCGTCTCTAATGCACTTTCTCCATCAACTCTTTGTGATGTGAAACGTGGCCTTAAAAAGGAAATGTGGCCTATTTTCCTTAAAATAGTTTCACAACTCACTATTCTTGTGGCATTTGCCAGATTCTTTGTGTGTTGGTGTTACCTGTGTGCTTGTCTTACTCTCCATTCCCTCTGCACGATATACTGGGGCTTTAGGGAAAAACCTCCCTTTTCCTTTTGTACCGTCTGAGGTCAGTAGCACAAGGTCTTGAACCTAACAGGCAGTCAACAAATCCTGAATTGGATTACTCTTCACAGGAGACAAACAAGAATTTTGAAAGAAGTCTGAATGTGGGAAAAGTGAATTGGAAGCAAATATGTACAAATGTCGGAATGTGCTGCAAAGAAAAGCAGAGAGGCAGCCAATGAGATGGGCACAGGCACAGTGGGCAGCCAATCGCCTGGGCCTAGCCGTGAAGGAGGCACAGGCCTACAGCCAGGACTACAAGGTCACCCTCCCACATGTGGCCCTGCTGTCTGGACCAATCACCCCAAAGTTCCCCTAGACTGCAGAAATTATAGGCGCTGCCCTCACCTGGGCAGTTGTTCTCCTGCTATAAGCTCTCCCAGGTAGCTTAGGAGAGCACCCTTACCAGTCATTTTACATAACAGCTGCGTGAGCGGAACAGCTGACCCCCTCTACTCTCTTAATCTGCGGGCCTACCCCTCGATAAAGGCCTTGGTTCACCAGAGCAGTTCAGACTTCCTACCCCTCATTTATTATGGTTCTCTTTAACTAGTTATCACCATGAAATAACCCTAAAACTGTGACTCGCACCTGACTGTCAAAACAACTTGGCACAATAGACTCCTAATCCTCCGACAGCCATTTCACTGTTAGAGCATGAGAGAACCACTACCATTATTTAGTTCAGCTGTCCCCCAACTGGGCTGCAGTGCAGAATCAGCTGCATAAGTTTCCTGGGTTGTTCTCCCACAGCCTTGGGAATGCTGATGTGCTCTCCCTCTCATCCTATAACTGAGGACTCTGACGTCAGAGCACTTGGCCACCTGGTCCAAGGTCGTGCTGCTGGTGTCAATAACACTTCTCTAACACACAAGGTACCTTATTTCATATGATCTTCCAGTAACTTGAGGCTGGTGTTATTATAGGATCATCCCCACTTTATAGAGAAAAAAAAGAAGCTGGAGAGCAAGCAACTTCTCTAAAGTCTCCTTGTAATGAACAGACCAAACTTGCACCCAGATTTCTGGAGCCCCAGTCCTGCCATCTTTTCACTGTACAATAAACGTCCTGAGCCCAGGCAAGGGGTTGATGGAACTGGGTAGAAAGGATGTTCCCAATCAGATTCCACACAGCTCTAGCTCCCCATTTCTTTTTTTTTTTTTCAGCGTTTTTTTTTTTTTTTTCATTTATTTTTTGGGACAGAGAGAGACAGGATGAACGGGGAGGGGCAGAGAGAGAGGGAGACACAGAATGGGAAACAGGCTCCAGGCTCCGAGCCATCAGCCCAGAGCCTGACGCGGGGCTCGAACTCACGGACCGCAAGATCGTGACCTGGCTGAAGTCGGACGCTTAACCGACTGCGCCACCCAGGCGCCCCTAGCTCCCCATTTCTTGATGTCACTTCAAACAAGTGGGTAGTGTGCAAAGGCATACATAAACTTATTGCAAGGTTTATAAGGTTTATAATGATCAATTTAACCTTTCAAACAGAATTAACTATGAAAATGTTCAAATACACAAAATTATAGTTAGAAAAATTAGAAAGAATAGCATAATAAACTGCCATTTACCCAATATTGTGATTCAACAATCACAGTTTTGCCACCTTTCACGTAGCCCTTTGAATCCCTTTTTTCTTTGAAGTTCTTATAGTTAAATATTTTTAAGTTTATTTATTTATTTTGGGGGGGGGTGTGGGGAAATGAATGAATACAAACAGGGGAGGGGCAGAGAGAGAGGGAGAGAGAGAATCCCAAGCAGGCTCCACACTGAGCCCTTCTCAGGACTTGATCTCGCAACCATGAGATCATGACCTGAGCTGAAATCAAGAATCAAACACTTAACTGATTGAGCCACCCAGATGTCCCTAAATATTTTTAAAGCAAATCCCAGATATGTAATTTCTTCCCTTCATGCCTCAGAATGCATCTCACAAAAACACCCAGACTTTGTGTTGGAAGGAGTGTGAATCTGCACGCGGAGCCACCTAGGACCTCCCTGTATCAGGAGCACAGATTCCAGCAAGCAGCACGTATCTGTCCAAGTGCACTGGCTGGTCTGTGTTGCACTCTGGTACCAGGTGTGTGTTCTCAATCATCCTGGCTGACAAACACATTTTGGACTCCCTCCAAACCCGCTGACACATTCAGGTATTGATTTGATCCAGTCCTGGTTTGCCAGTTGCTGCTGAGTGCCACCTTACCTGCATAAGTACGGTCAGAAAAGGAAGTAGGGAAGCAGCCTTAAGACAACAGTTACTCAGTTCTTGGTTCACAGGACCACAGCCAATCCCCTCCCCACAGTAAGGTACAGGACACAGAGTCCTACTGCCATAAATCTGAGCCAATCACAGAGTGAGGAGTCAGAGTGCCTAGTACACATCAGGCAGGAAAGAGGAGTCATTATTTTTAGCAACTTCTTGTTAAATATTTGCCTCATCGATGCTGGAGTGCCCACCAGCCACACTAAAATGAGAAGTGCTCTAATAATGCCTCTGCGGCAAGAGGGAGGGTGTGACAAGAGGGCCCTTTTATAGTTCACTTGGTGGAGGCTGCCCTCCTGCTACTAGCCACCAGCTACTTCCATCAGTCCTGCACCTATAAAAGCAAAAGCTAGAGACCTGAAATGTGGAGTGAAGCAGGTAAATCTAAAGCTTTAGTCCAAGTCTTTCTCCCTGCCTCAACGTGCAGGCTTCCCTTAGCCTGCCCAACCAGCACCCTTACTTCCCTCCCAGCCCTAACAAGGCATGCTCAGGAAGCTCCAGAACGTCAGCCCACTGAGATTCTTCACCATTCATTCTGCTGACGCACCATCCAACACAGGCTGGACACAGGAACCACAACTTTGGGTTAAGTTACCCACACTTCTATTTCTGGGAGACTGCTGCATCTGTGTGTCCTAAAATGCTTTTGGGAAACAGGAATAGCCAAGCTCGACACATTTTTACAAACACCTACTAGTTTCCACTTTTAATTCGAGTAACAGATACTTGAGTACTTAGTAGTTACAGGAGGATCTTAGTCCTGGATTCTGCCACCACCATGCTATCTGACACCCATTGACTCACCTAATTAAATTCTTTTCTCACAGGATCACATTCCTGTTTTCATGTGGGTGAACAGGGACTGAGACAATCAGTGCTGTAGTTATTTTTTCACTCAGGGGGATATTGATGTCATCTGATACCAAGATGCATACCCCCAATTGAAATGAAACTGTATGTGGCATCATTTTTAGGTAAATGTGTTTGGCTGTATGATGCTTGGAGCCAGTCACTGAAAAATTAAACATTTCAGTTGATCTAATGGATTGTTTTGTATAAAGGATCATTTGACTTGAGTTTCCTCTGTGATGAGAGGTACCACCAGTTAAATTTTACCTGAATCAGAGTGGAGGCTAGGGTGAGGCTAGATGAGGTACCTAGGGCACACAATGTAAGGAGGCATTTACTTTCAGGGTCATGCAACTGCCAGCCCTACACTTACACAACCCTAAGATTGAATACCTCTTTCAATTTTGCACCTTAGGCTCTTCACTTACCTTACCCTAGCCTTAGCCATGCTGTAGACTCAGGCCAGCTGGAGGCAAAAATAGTCACCTTGTTAAGTTACAGAGTCTCCCAGTCCAAATCTGGGAGATTCCAACTCAGTACACCTAGGGTGAGGTTCACGAATCATTTTAAAGAAGCTCCTTCATGTTAATCTTGGTATACAGCCACACTGGGATCCACAGATGTAGTACTCAGAGTACCACAATTGGAAGGTGACACTCCCTTAAATATAGCATGATCAGCTTTAAGTATAAATATTCTATTCAATTTTGAGTTTTCTCCATGACAAAGCATTTAAAGATCTGATTCTCTATCAGTTAAGATTGTGTTGTGCTACAATCAACGCAAAACCTTACTAGCAATGGCTTAAACAAGTAGGGGTTTATTTTTCCCATAACTGGAGTCTGGAGGTAGGTTACT